GGTACTCCTAGAACAGCTCAATCAGAACTGAGCATCCTTATGGTGTGTGGACAAAATGGAAAATTAAGGAAGTGGAATGAAGTGCGCTGAACTTGCATTCCACCATGCAACATTTGGTTGCACAACTTGCTTGCTTAAATATAAATAAGCAAAGATTAAGTAACGAAGAAATGTAGAAACGTGCACACATTAATTTGTATGAGGAACTACACTTTTCTTAAACAAATTAGTGACATGTGCTTAAAGAAACAAACCTGTCATTAGCTGACTGGCACAAGTGACATACCAGTGAAATGCATTTGGGAAGTGGCACTTTGTTTTTTAAAAAATCGTTGTCCCCGTAATGTTCAGATCTGCCTTCTCAGGGAAAGAAACAAATAGACACAGGCAATCTGCAGAACAAATTTTGTTGTCTACTTGTACAACACTAGGAACCTCTGGCGTTTCCACACATGGAATCTGTGCTGCTTCCCAATTAGTCCCATATCCATGGGATCCTCAAGGATTACTAGTTTCTCAGCTCACTCCCCTGATTTATTTTTGGCTCACCTGCAGTATGTCTCAAACTGCAGTTAGTTGAGGAAATTTCCCTTTTAAGACTATGAAGCTCTGGAGCAAGGTTCCTCAACCTTGGCAACTGTGAGATGTGTGGATTTCAACACCCAGAATTCCCCCGCCAGCAAAGCTGCAAATGTAAGTCTAACCACAGCTGACAAAAGTGCAAGCAAATGGATAGGTAGAGTCATTTTAATAGAATTCTCTGGGTTTGAGAAAGAAAAAGAATGCCTCTAAGACATGGCAGTTGAGGACCAGATGACCTTGCCTCTTGAGATGTTAGTCTATCTGTTAAGGAGTCAGTGAAAAAAAAGGATCAAACAACTCACAGAGACCTTGACTTAATGCACTAGTACTTTAGGACTAGAGTACGTATACTTATCTGGTCTCCAAGATTCTGTAATGCCTTTTTCCTGACTTTAAATCTGACTAATGAGACTCTGTGTGATGTTAGCTTCCTTAGTCATGAGGGGCCTAACATCATATGCATAAAGAAACAAAGAAAATCCTGCCAGGGGATACTTACTAGTTTAATTGGATGCATGGAGCAAATGGAGGGGTCCTTTGCCCCCCAGGCTTGCAAACTGGGATACCCACCAGGTTCTAAGACATATGGGTCATCATCAAAGAATGGCTTTGAATAAACGAGCCACCTATGGAATAGAGAGTTCTGTAAAAAAGTGGGCAAAACAAATACTGATAAAATATACACCTACTGAACTGAACATCCCAAGAGACATCCTGGAAGGAGACAGGCATATACAGTTTGTATGCTTAATCCTTTAAGTCAACCAGCACAATTTGCACTTCTAGACCAATACATGAATTAGAAGGCAATGACTGGTTGGTTTTCACCCATTTTCAAATTCTGCAACCTGCCCCAGCTCAAGAATTAAGCAAAACATCTATAAAATACACAGTTCAGAGTAAAATGTACACAGAATTGTGAATCGTGTGCAAAGGAAAAAGAAAAATCTGAAGAAAAATTATGAATTTTTTTGTATAAAACCTTCAATAGTACACTAGGTTTTCCAAGTAAGTTCAGAAATGATCTGCTGAGCTTGTCCTTAAATGCT